CTCGACACTTGAAATGGAGAGCTTGCTCGCAAGCTAACAGTCAAGGAACATCTCTTAAAACATTTCCAGTATGATGACATACTATTTATATTAACTTATACCCACAGTCTATTCCATTCAGTGCTATCAGTGTATTCCCAAGATGACGCCAAACTGCCGTTCTTTCAACTCTTCGGAGTGTACCAAGCAGCAGACAAACCTGACTTGTCCCCAGGGAATGAATTACTGCATGCGAATGCAGCTCCACGTGGCTAACAAAAGTGTAGCAGTCGATACGGAAAGAAGGTCGTGCGCGAGTAAAGAAACCTGTTCTATGCTGAAGAGAGCTTGCGATCATCACAAAAACTTCACGGACCTCAAATGCACTTCCATGTGCTGTGACTACGACCTGTGTAACGCTGATTCTCGTTCAACTGCTGAATGTGTCTTATTACTAGTATCAGCTCTTTTTCTTGTTGCGTTTTCTAACCTCTTTATCAATTGTAGATAAATTTGGTTGCAAAAGAAAAGTTGGCTCGGGAGATGGCTTGTACTTTCAAAATCCTTTACAGTCTAAGTGACCTTAGGCTATCAGTGTTCCAGGCAAGTACGAAGGAGATAAGGAAACACTGCTACACCCATATAAACTATGATGTGAATTGTGTTTTGTGCGAACTATATTTTATTCTGGAGTATACTGACACTGCTGCACCCATATAAACTATGATTTTACTGCGTTCTGTGCGAACTATATTTTATTCTGGACTGGAGTATACTGAAAATTTATCATTTTTTAATAAAATTCAAAGCGTATTTATCATTTGAATAAAACTTCAAAAAGCGTACGTTTGTTGTACTAAAACCTGGTTTTAACTCCCGGCAATTTTCTCTGCCTCAAATGAGGTTTCCGGCTTTGTGCATATACAACAATTTTTTTAAGTTCAAACGTTAGCGATCAAATGACAAAAACGAACCAGGTTTTGTGACACTTAAAACTTTTTTCAGGTTGACTGCTGGTCAAGGTTTTTAAAACACTAAATGACCGGCAGTCCTATATTCTCAATAAGCTTCAATAAATTTGACAAATCGAAAAAATCCATCTAATCTAAACTATCATATGTCGATTAAGAAAAGTCAAGCGATCCTGAAACGCTTTATAGATTTCAAGTTTAGCGTCAGTGGTTTACGCTGGGCTCACAAAACGAAACCATGTTTTGTGTCACTTACAACTTTTCTCAGCTTCCTCTTTCCTCTTTCCTCTTTCCT